TGTGTTGACTTGGTTGTGAAGGGAGAAGTGAAAGCGGAAGATGGCATTTTTTCTTGTAATTCAACGTGTGGAAAGATGCTTAGATGTGGTAATCATTATTGTGCTGAAATTTGTCATCCTGGTCCTTGCGAGGATTGTGAGTTTATGCCAAGCAAGTTCAAGTCTTGTTACTGTGGGAAAACAAGCTTGCAGGATCAAAGGCAAAGATGTTTGGACCCAATTCCAACTTGTTCAGAGATATGTGCAAAGTTCCTTCCTTGTCAAGTGCACCGATGTGACCAAGCCTGTCATGCTGGTAGTTGCCCACCTTGTCACCCAAAAATGCCTCTGTGGATCAACTTCTCGGAGGGTGAAATGCTACAAAACGACACTTGAAAATGAGAGATTCATGTGCGACAAGCCTTGTGGCCGTAAGAAGAATTGTGGTAGACATCGATGCAGCGATCGATGTTGCCCACTCTCAAACTCCAATAATCTTGGTTCTGGCGGTCGGGATCCACACTTTTGCCAAATGGCATGTGGGAAGAAGCTGAGATGCGGGCAACATTCTTGTGAATCTCTTTGTCACAGTGGTCACTGCCCTCCATGCTTGGAAACAATCTTTACTGATTTGACATGTGCTTGTGGAAGAACTTCAATCCCACCTCCATTGCCGTGTGGTACACCACCACCTTCATGTCAATTTCCATGCTCAGTTCCGCAGGCTTGTGGTCATTCATCTTCTCACTGCTGCCATTTTGGAGATTGTCCACCTTGTTCTGTTCCTGCGGCAAAGGAATGCATCGGAGGACATGTTGTTCTTAGGAATATTCCTTGTGGATTAAAAGATATCAGATGCAACAAACTTTGCGGCAAGACCAGACAGTGTGGGTTACATGCATGTGGGAGAACTTGTCATCCACCGCCCTGTGATGCATCATCTGGAGTTGAAAAAGGTTTTAGGGCCTCTTGTGAGCAGATGTGTGGGGCACCTCGGCAAGACTGCAGGCATACATGTACTGCACCTTGTCATCCCTCGGCACCATGTCCTGATGTTAGGTGTGATGTTCGAGTTACAATCGTGTGTTCATGTGGCCGGCTAACTGCAACTGTTCCTTGTGATGCTGGTGGCGTCAATGCTGATACAGTTTTTGAAGCGTCTATTATCCAAAAATTGTCGTACCCTTTCAACCAGTGGAATCAACAGGCAAAAGGATTCCTCTTGGACAAAGGAAGCTTATGTGTGATGATGAATGTGCTAAGTTGGAGCGCAAACGAGCTCTTGCAGATGCTTTTGATATCACTCCCCCCAACTTGGATTCTCTTCATTTTGGTGAGAATTCGGTTACATCAGAGCTGATTTTTGACCTATACAGGCGTTATCTGAAGTGGGTTCTAGCTGTAGAGGAGAGATGCAAGTTTTTGGTACTTGGCAAGAACAGAGGAACGGGTTTGAAAGTTCATGTGTTCTGCCCAATGCTGAAGGATAAGAGCGATGCTGTCAGGATAATAGCAGAAAGATGGAAGCTTGCTATTAGTGCTGCTGGTTGGGAGCCCAAGCGTTTTATTGTGGTTCATGCTACTCCCAAATCTAAACCACCGGCTTGTATCATTGGGGGTAAAGGGTCAACCGGTAGTGGGTCAGTACATCCTCCTGTTTTTGATCCCCTTGTGGACATGGATCCAAGGCTTGTTGTTTCTTTCCTAGATTTTCCCCGAGAAGCAGGTATTAGTGCATTGGTGTTGAGGTTTGGCGGGGAGTGTGAACTTGTTTGGATGAACGACAAGAATGCGTTGGTTGTATTTAGTGATCCTGCTCGACCTGCAACGGCTATGAGGAGATTGGATCATGGATCAATTTATACAGGGGCTTCTACTTTTGTTCACAGTGGTGGAGCATCAAACCCTAATAATGCATGGGGAGGAACAGGGCCGAGTTCTGCTGTAAAGGCAAATCCATGGAAGAAGGCTGTGGCGCAGGAGGTTGGTTGGGGGAAACTTTCATGGGGTGGTGATGAGTCTCTTGGTGGAACTTCAAATCCAGGCTCTGAATGGAAAGACGAGGATACTCCAATTCCTGCTTCAATTAACCGCTGGAGTGTTCTTGATTCTGAAGCGGGTGTAAACTCATCTTCTGGAGCAGTTCAATCTGAAGATGCTTTAAAGCTGGCTGGAGTTCAATCCATATCAACTATGGATTCAAATGATACCAATTCGAATTCAGCTGGGTTGCTGTGTAGGGGTTTAAATGAAACAGGGCCATTAGAGGTTGTAGATGATTGGGGAAAAGGCTTATGAATGAGAAGTATATACCAATAAACCTTGTGGTCAGGGAGATGTGGGCTGCCCATTTTCATTTTCAAATGGCTGGAAAAACTTTCCACCTACTTAAGTTTACACCTGATATTATCAAATAGGTGTTATGATGATCTTTCTAATTTTTTTCCTTCTTGCCAAGGCGATGCCCCTTCAACTGGATGGGTAAGCTTGCTCCATTTTTCCAATTATTGGAGAAGCTAAATCAGAAATTCCTGTTTTTCTTGTGGAAACTAAGGGGTGGGAATTGAGGGAATTTAAAGAGATGTTATGTAGGTGCGGAATCCAGGAGTTGAATTCGCTGAAGAGAAGCAAAAACTGCTGTATGAATAAAAAGACATCGACATATGTTTTTATCCCCATCCTTATGTAAAGGAGTTGTCCATCACTGCAAAGTGTACACACTTGAAACACCATCAAAGTGTCTTTAATTTCCCTTCCTTTGTACTGGAATTAAATTTAATCAATAAACATGTTATCAATTTGAATATTCAATGTAAAAGATTGTTCTTTAGCTTTTCAACTTCTCTGTTTGCATGACGTTCTCATGTCTTTGATTTGTTGAAGATGTGAAATATTTATGTTCTTTTATCTGGACATGGGTGGAAGTAATAATTTGGGTCACTATTTCCAAGTGGTAACTTCTTATTCGTTGTGATGCTATAGTTGCCAAAAGAATGACCATTTTGTATGCAATCTGCAATAAACTTGTATTACTGTATGTTCTGTTGTATTACAACGTGTACAGACTTCGGTTGTCAGGTTCTTCTTGCAAAGAGGACTGTGTTAGATGTTGATATTCTTATTTTTCAGCAGGATGCTTAGGGTTGCTGGATTAGCTGCTGTGCCGTGGTACAATGATGACAACGGGCATTTGAGGTATGTATATGCCAATAATGTATTAAACGTGTTGCAGGCACACGGTGCTGGCAGTCGGCAGAGGTACGGTGTCATGTTTAGGTAAATGGCTATTTAATCAATGCAGGAAATCAGGGCAATGGGCTGCTACAAAAGAACTGCACTTCAAATTCAAATACAAGAAGAATAAAGCAACAATCTGAAGTCTTAACTGCATCCTTTACAATCAATGAGTTACCTATTCCTCACCTTTTATATGAAGATTTATGCCATAAATATTTCATTGTTGCATCTAACATTTTGAAGACATTATTAGTTTAACCAGGTGCTTCCTATGCTGCCTGCAAGCTGCAACTTCATTCAGGCCAGATGAAATATGTATGCCATAAATATTTGATTGTTGCATCTAACATTTTGAAGACATTATTAGTTTAACCAGGTGCTTCCTATGCTGCCTGCAGGCTGCAACTTCATTCAGGCCAGATGAAATATGTATTCCATTAGGTAATTTTAATATTAGTTACTCAGCCTATCGATGACTTCATTGATAAGATGACACTATTGATCTACTGAATTACGGACTTATTGTGATGCGGGCATAAGACCTCGGACCATACTTGTTTAGATGATGAGTAGGTAGAAAACTGGTGTCTCTATCTTAAATATATAGCTAAGAGTGCCCATTTGCTGCAATTTATTAGGTTAAAGTTGTACTCATTATTCCAAGGTATATCCATCGGACAAGTATCGTCACCAACTGAAGAGCAATTGAACGAGGTTAAGTATTTTATTTCTCCTAAGCCGGGGAAAGAGAGATCATCAAGAAACTGGAAAGGTGATGCTTATAAATTGAGAGATGGGAGGTGGATATAGTAGCAAGTACCGAGACGAGGCATGTGAATTACTTGTTTTTGGTAATCTATAGCCTGGACTACCATCATAACTGAGGGTGGCAAGTAGATCAGAGTTTGTTTATTATAGGAGCACGACAATTGGAAGCCTGAATCGGGATAACTGCGGTGGTGCGACTCCTGGTGCTGTAACAAGAATGGAAATCGGGCAGGCAGGCCGTGGCGTTTGCACTCTGCAACCTAGCATGTTTCATAACCTGCTGCTGCTCCACCTTGTTTAACCATCAATATCAACGCAAGGAGGAGAAGGAACAATGTCCCCGTTAACTTAGGAGCAAGGAAGATGGGGAAAATGCCTGACAGGTTCATGTTTAATCTCTCTCTCGGTCTCTGCTATTTAATTTGTTGATCCAGTGTAATGAGCATGTAGAAATTTCCAAGTTGCCTCCCTTTGCACTCGTACTGATTTCTCAACGATCAATGCGCGTATAATAAATATAATCCAACTAAATGAATTTTCAACATCTTTTTCTTAACACTAATCATTATTAGCCTTCCCTTTCCGCATAATTAACCGCATCATTTGCCTATCATATATTGAATGTTTTACAAATCTTTTCGTGTAGCATCCATCCGTTACTAAGGGTATATTTTAATATTTCGATCGACTAAAATGATACTAAGGGTCCCTTTGGAACTGTATTTTAATATACTAGGGATATATTTTTGGAAATTAATTTGAAACACTTTGTCATCTCAGCTTTTAAATGTACTGTTCATGGGGTCCATCGACTTTGTAACCTAGCCGGACCACCATTGAGATTAAGTGATCGGAAATGTCGAAGCTGTCTCTGTACTAATAAATGTGTTACCAACAACAAACGCCTGCTCTGGATATTCACCGGGAGCTTCTCTTAGGCCATGTGGCATCCCCGCAACAGAAGTTCACTTGCAAACATGTAAGAGTATCTTATAACATCAAACTTAATTATGAACTTCACCACAACTTGATGTTTTGAATGTATTTTATGACACAAATGTTTGACTACTGATGTAGATTATGGTGATTGAAGTACATCATTTCAAGTGATTTTAACAGTATTCGAATATTTTTCACCTACGGAATTCCAGCGCATGAGACTACTGCCTCTTATTACAATTCAAGTATGCTTTTCAGTGTTCTACTAATCAGTTTGTTGGATTCTTTTTTTTGCCAAGTTGGAAATGACCATCCAGCTCAGTTGGTAGAGCATAAGGTTCTTAATCTTGAGGTCGTGAGATCAAGTCCCACGGAGGGCATTTCATAATTCGGAGATCTCTTACAGAAGCTGCTCTCAACCTGGTGTTGGTAGTAGCCTACTATCTTACCTCCCCTTACCCCATATATATGAAAAAAAGGGACAGCCATTTTTTTTTTTGCCAAGTTAATTAATAACCATTTTACCCATTTGTTTATTTCCAGGCCAGCTTGTCTTCCTTATTCTAACCGGTGAGAACCAGATACCTGCATAACAATTTTATTTTTGTTTAAACTTTTAATTTGTTTTATTTAAGGATAAACTACAGAAATAGTCACCGATGTTTGAGTAAGTTTTCGCTTTCCCCACTGAAGTTTCAAAAGTAACAAATTTATCATTAACATTATCGATTTTTAATAAACCAACTACTCGACGTTAAATGCCGTCACTGTAGGTGACAGAAAGCTGGCATGACATGCTAACTGTTGATTTGACACCTTTTTATCATTATTTTCACCTACCATTCTCTTCCATCTCTACTCTCATCTCTATATTTCTTTTAAACTCAAAACCCACCATTTTCATTAGTTTTTCTTCTCCAATCTTCATCCTCAAAAACAAAAAGGCCGCCCATCCCACAATTCTCTTTGTCTCGTGCAAAGCTCCTCAATGCTCTCTTTTTCATCGATCAGTTTTATTTTGATCATACTATATTGAAACTAATTTTACTTTAATTAATGAATAAGCTAGGGATATAATTTTTTTTATTTACGTACGTACAGTCACAACTATTAATCTCTTTACCAAGATTCTAGTTGCCCTAAGATTTACGTTATTGTCACTCATTATCAAATCTAGCTAGTTTGTTATGTTGTTTCTATTTTGTAAAAATATCACGAACTTGAATGTATATCATAGAATGGGTATATAAAAGAAAAATCTAATCTAGAAACGAAAAGGCCAATGCTAGACCAATCTGATTCAATTATTTTCTATTCATAACTTTATCTTAATCTGAACGAACGATAAGTATCATCTGATTCTTGCACTTCATTTGCAAAAGAAAGAATGAAATCGTCATATCGTTTTACAGTAAAAGCATGTAGTAGAAGAAATGAAGAATTAAAGCAAAAAAAAAAACATAAATTACTCTAACTAAAAGAATTGCTCATCATTCTCCCTTAATTCATAAATGAAGGGATATGCCAAGCTTTTGATTTTTCTCCTTATGGTCAACCCTTCCGACGTCTTGATTATCAATGTCGATCGCCGTTACTGGCTGCTGAGTACTGAAGTCTTCATTGCACGTTAAGCTCCTCTGCCAATTGAACCAACTTTGTTCCTCCTCTTTTGCTTCATGATGACGGTGGTAATAACAATCACTACTCTCACCATAAAACCCAACATCGTTACAAAACCTGGCCGCTCTGTTCGACTTAAACCCATCGGATAAATGATGATGATGATTTGGGGATGAACGGTAGTTGACTGCATGAGTTTTTATATACATCGAAGGGTGCTGTAAGAAGCTCAAATGGTGGCTTACCGATGCATAAAACAATCGACAACATTGGGAAGATCAAAATAATGGTCGAATGGTGTCAAATCAGCAATTATCATGCCATGTCAGCTTTCTGTCACCTACAGTGACGACAGTTAATATTGAGGGACCGATTTGTTATAAATCGATAACATTAGTGCCCGATTTTTTATTTTTGAAATTTTAATAAAAATTCAAAAATTTAGTCAAACATTAGTGATCATTTGTGTAGTTTACCTTTTATTTAAAGATAATAATTTGTTTATGCCGAATCCTTTCTATTTCTGTGTGCAGGAGCTGTTATTGCTATTAGAACTCGATTGGGGGTTTCATGCTTGATTATAGCTGTACTGCTTAAGTTTTGAAGACGAAGTCAGTGTATAGATGATACAATTGAAGAATTCCTTCAAAATCAAAGCAAGTTAATGCCCATCAGGTACTCTTATTCAGAGATAAAGAAAATGACAGATTCTTTCAAAAATAAACTAGGGCAGGGTGGGTTCGGATCTATGTTCAAAGGAAAGCTTCGAAGCGACCGTTTTATGACGATCAAATTGTTAGAATTGTCGAAATCACAAGGCCAAGATTTCATCAATGAAGTTGGTACCATCGGGAGGAATCATCATGTTAACGTGGTACAACTCGTTGGTTTTGTGTACAAGGATCAAAACAAGCCCTTGTCTATGATTTCATGCCAAATGGTTCTTTAGATAAAATAATATTTTCAGAAGAAAAGAAGGTCGATTTGAGCTGGGAAAAAAGTATTCAAGATCGCAACCGGAGTGGCTCGAGGGATTGAATACTTGCATCGGGGATGTCACATGCAGATTCTAAATTTCGACATCAAACCGCATAACATCCTCCTAGACGAAAACTGCACCCCGAAAGTTTCGGATTTCGGGCTCGCGAAACTGCATGCAGTAGATAAGAGCATTGTGTCTCTCACAGCAGCACGAGGCACTGTTGGATACATTGCACCAGAACTGTTTTACAAGAACGTCGGGAGTATCTCGCATAAGGTAGATGTTTACAGCTTCGGAATGTTGATGGAAATGGCAGGAAGGAGAAGAAATCTGAATGCACTTGCTCAGCAGTCTAGTGAAATATATTTCCCCTCGTGGATTTATAACCTATTCGATAGAGGGAAGGATCTGGAATTAGAAGATGCATCTAAGAACGAAAGAAAAATAGTGAGGAAAATGATTATGGTTTTGTTTTGTTGTATACAAATAAAGCCTACAGACCATCCTTCGATGAGTAGGGTTTTGGAGATGCTTGAAGATGCGGTTGAGCTACTTGAGATGCCTCCAAAGCCATTTCTATTATCTGTGGAAAGGCCATCCTAGGAACCCACGGCAGCAGCCATTGATGCTACTACCGAGAGCTTGGACATGGCACAATGCTCAGAGAGCTAGACCTTTCTTCAACTTATACATGTAAGACTATAGTTTTAATAAATAATGATGTGTTGATGATAATATATTCCCAATTTGAAATCCTAGGAATTGGCGATATTGTCCTTAAATCCCTAATTTCTATTTGGTGACCTAATTGCAATACTGGAAAGTTTGGGGTTAATTTCATGAACCTCAAAAAGTTCAAGGACTAACTAAATAATTAACCCAATTTTATTTTTTTTAAGAACTCTAACCTTAGCTTGTTTTAAACTATGCGACGCCCTCTCCTGATTTTCTTTTTCCCTTCCTTTAAACCCTAACAGTCGCTCACTATTTTCTTGTTGTGTCACAGTTATCCTCGCCATTTAAGGTAACGTCATCGCTGCTATCGTCCAAAGGCCCCCACATGGTGACCCGAAGCCTCATCGTTGATGGGGGTTGTGTTGATATGAAACTCGCGAGCTTTAGCTTACAAAACGTCGTTGTTGTCGCCTTGTTTCGATCGTTTATGGCCACTGTAAGATCGAGTTCTTGCCGGGGAAGGCCTAGTTGGCCTAGGTCGCGGCTGAACAGCCCCTGGTAGGCCATGAGAGTCCCATTCCGTTTATTGTTGCACCTCTGTCTCACCCATACCACCGTTTCTTGCCGTTTAAGGCTATTATAAGACTGACACAATAATCGGGTGTAGCTGTAACGCCCCGAATATCGTTCCAGTAGTTTTGTGTCGACCCAATAATTTATTTAATAAATTTATTACAACACGAGGGTTCATTGGTTCAAATTTAAGTATAATCGGGTAAGAAATTAGCCTTGTAAAATATAACAAAAAAAAGGATTTTTTAAGCTTTGAAAGAATATAGGAGATCCTAAAGTGTAATTTTACCATCGAAGAAAAATATGGCTGATTTGGGAAGATTTCTAGCTGATTTTCATGTAGGTTTAGGGGAGCTTGGACATGCCACTTTTCTCTTTCACTTCCATAAAATTTCTCCTTCTTCCTCTCATCTTTTCTCTTCATTTTTTCTTCTTCTTTCAAGCTAGATAAATGGAAAAGCTTACACCTTTCTTCATCTCCTTCTTCAATTTGAAATCTAGAGGTAAGACTCTTAACCTAGAGTTCTTGAGCTTCATGAAAAGCTCACCATCTCCATAAATGGTGTTCTTGAGCTTTTCATGAGGTTTTAGAAGGATTTGAGCTCCATGGGCTTCTCTCATGGCTCCTATCTGATTTTTATGTGTTATAGTCATTGTTTAACATCTAGCCTCCTTCATTTTCATGTTGAAATCATTTGGTGGCTTTTGGGTGATGGAAAAGTGGTGCAAGAACCCCCCCCCCCCAAAAGGCAAGGAATTGACATGGTTGGTTTTTGGAGAATCTAGAAAGGTATTTGGGTAGCTAAGAGCTGAGGTAACACATTATAACTCTTTCTTACTACTTGTATGTCATCTAGATGAGTGTGCTTGCTTGTATGAGGTGGAAGAGCATATGGGGCTTAGGTTCTTGATTTGTTGTTATGGATATTTTTTATGTTATTCTATTGTAAAAATAATGTATAATGGCCCTTATAACTTTCATAAGCTTTAATAATCAACTTAGACCTTAGAATAAGCGTTAGGATGAGTTTAAGGGTGTTTCCCGAGCTAAATAAGGTGTTTCTGGGTAATAGTATCGATATTGTTCATGTTCTAGGTAAAAATTAGGTTTTCTAGGCCTCATTATCGATACTAGATGAACTGGTATCGATACCGACCCTTTGGTATCGACACCGGAGTGTTGATATCCATACCGGATAAACTAGTATCCATACTGGAGTGTTGGTATCCATACAGGATGAAATAGTATCCATAACGAAGGCTTGATATCAATACCCAACATGGTTAAGTAACTTCACGATGTCAAATAGACTTAAGAGTGAAGAATTTAATATCGATTAAGATCGGGCATCTAGCTCGAGTGTAAGATGTCACTAAAATGTTGTTGGGGACTGAAATTACCAAATTACCATTATGGGCCTCAATGAATGAAAAAACCTATACGAGTTACCTATGCAAGATGAGAGTGTATCAGTTGTCCCTCCAATTCAAGGGTGAATCGAGGGGAACCATGATGAGAGTGACTAGAGTGTTGCCATTAATTAGTAAACCCTAGTTGAACATCACGCTAACAGATAATACAAATGAATAGTAGTAACATGTTTCTGACTTGCCTATACCACATGTAGTTCATTAGATTTGCATGGTTAGTTAGTTGGGTTCATGAAACATGCCCAAGCATTTTATGGTGAAGTTCATTGGTGATGTTTTTAAGCATGAAAGGTGACTACTTTTAACCCCTAATGACTCATATAAGACTTAAATACCGTTTAATGGCCTTTGTAGGGCAAATAGGTAGAGTTAGAGCATATTTTCGTGCTCAAAATAGGGTATTTGTTGGCAAAAGTATATTGGATGAACAATACTGATATTTTCCTTCAAGCAGCCCAAAACAAGGTGTTTGGGGCTGTTAGTATCGCTACTCATTCAAGGGGGTATCGATATTGTCCCAAGAGTATCGATACTCGAGGGGGAGTATTGATACCAAATGTTGAATTCATATTTCAATTTCCATTTTTGGTACTAATACTCAAGGGAGTATCAATACCAGGAGGGGAGTATCGATACCTAGCTAAATTTCCGAACATCGAAGTCATTTTTGGTATCGGTACTCGGGGTAGTATCGATACCCTTTAACAAAAGTATCGGTACTCCAATTAAGAGTATTAATACTGAGTATTTTCCCTAATCATCGAAACTATTTTTGTATCGATACCCAGGGTAGGTATCGATACCTAAGGGTCAGTACTGATACTGCAAGGCATAGTAGTATCGGTACCCTCGTCATGAGTTGGGTAAATATCCCAAATCAATTCAAGAGTTTGGGTAGGGGAATCAGGGGCCATTGAAACCTTGTGAATAAAACTACAAGTGAGAACAACCTGAGTAATTACAATTACAACTAGAAATAGATTACATCAGGATTACATAAAACTAGCCCTTGTGTGACACTCGGGAAATAGTCAGGACACCTAAGTTACTTTCGTATTATGACGATCATCTCATGTATTAGAATATCCAGATATAGCTCAGCTAGTGCGCTAGGTACTTCAGTTTCCAACTGGGCGCAGATGCCCCATGACTCGACGGAGTAAGTTGGTCGGGTGTATGTTTTCGATGCAGAAAATTTTGAATCTCATCTTGATACTCAAGAACATTCAAGGTATGCTAAGAGTGTATGTTTCCGATGCAGAAAATTTTGGATCTCACCCCGATACTCGAGAGTATCCTACGTAAGTTGGGGGTGTTTCCTTGAGATGCAAAAAAATTCCTCTAACCACACCACTAAACTTGTCTCAGTATGTTTTTAGTGTATTTGTATGCCCATGTCTTCGTTTGCTAGCATGATCATTAAATGAATGCTTGTAGTATAGTAGAGGAATTGTATGGCGTGGGGCTTACAAGTTCAGCGTTCGGAATGTGTTTTCGTTTGTAAGTTTCAGATTTCGTGGAGTGTGATGGGACAACGATAGTCTTAGCAGAGTACCATAGTACAATGATGACGGCTTAATGGGAAATTATAGGTCATGATTTGAAATGAGTCAACTTATATCATTTTAAATATTTATTTTATTTGTCGAGTTTCTATATTGGGGCCCCATTTTTGTAAATTATATTGGTATCGTACTTGTGTAAACATTTTTAATAAAAAAAAAGTGTAACACCCCCAACCCGTATCCCAACCCGGATACGAGTCAGAGATATTACATTGACTTTTAAAACACACTCATTACAAATAATAGTAAAATACTTGAACTTATATTACGAAAAATACAATAATATACATATGGTAATATAAGTGTACCAAAATATTCAGAGCATACACAACTTAACTCTTTAATTACATGTCAACATCCATT